TTAAAACCAATAAAATGTTAAATTAAAATAATTTAGAATTTGCGCTAATGTTCCCAAACGGTTGGGTTAATATTCTGAAAATGTAAAAGTAACATTCCTTAAAGGTTGGTATCCAAAACAAAATTATGGAATTAATATAAAGAGAAAGAATTGAACCTTCACCTCGCCAGTTTTTGTTTTAAGTGCGTTTCACCTACAGTAGGTGACCTACTTCAAATACCGACAGAAAGCTGTTTCGATTTATATTTGGGGGCAATTTGGTGTAGTGGAACACACCCAAATAAATCGGCTACCTGAGCTTATATACTCTCTAAAAATGAATTAGTCAAAAATGACCAATTTAATAGTTATTAGTGGCTGCGTTTTCACTTGTACCATGGTTATCCATGGGATACCATGGTATCCTGAATCTGAAAATGTTGTTAAAAGTTAAAGTTTTCGAGATATAGTCAATTTTCCATTTTATATGGAATTGACTATATCTCAAAAACTGCTCCACTTTCATAAGTTTTGACGGTATTTTCGTATTCACGGGACAATTTTACATAAGAATTGGCTATTAGATTTTGGGATACCATGGTATTTCATGGTTAACCATGGTACAAGTGAAAAAGCAGCCACTGATAACTATTAATTTAGTCATTTTTGACTAATTCATTTTTAGAGAGTACTCCTATGGTAAGCCAACTGAGATCAACACCGTCTAATGACGTGGCGTGGGTGTTCGAAGCGCCCTTCACGGCAATTTTATGAATGCAAATTTAACATTTTAAATTTTAAAGTAACATTTACAATTTGTTAAATGAACAAATTTAATGTTTTGGATTAAAGAGCAACTAAACGTTAATTTAATAGTTTTTTTTAGGTAATCCTAAAAATATTAGTATTTGATTCAACCAATTCCCAGCTATTAAATCAAAATATGATAAACATTTTAATTCAAAAAATTTGTTTATGTTAAATCAATATTTTAACTGTCAAATAAACAAATAAACTTTGACAAACTCTGAATTTTTAAAAATGTTTTTATACTTTTTCGATACTGCTTCGAATTTAAAACAAAATGGCTATTTCAGATGAAAATGTCAAATTTTGGACTTGGACTACTGTTCTTAATATAATAATACAAATAATTATGATCGGCTATAAAACAAGTTGTCACATTACCTCACTCTATATTGTTTTTAGGATTTTCCCTCCACAGACAAATTATTGAAACCACTCATACTACATACATTCGTACAAACGGCTTTGTGTATTTTCCCCCTATTGTTGATTAGTCTTTAGATGATTCACAGCTGTTTTGATAATTAGACGGCGGACCCACCTCGTTTGACAAGTGAGTGACGTTGCGCTATGCCGGTGTAATTTTATTATAAACGCTGGCATAACTCTAAATTTTTACCACCCCTTATTTTGATTTGCATATGCCACACAGATATAAGAGAGATGAGAGTGTCCTAGTGAAAATCCACTTAAAAAATTACTTTCAATTTATTTTATTATCGTAAGAATGAGAAATAAAATTTACTGCTGTGAGAAAGGTCCATTTAAAATGTACGATTCTTATAATTATTGTACTATACAAATACAATTAAATTAGTAGCGAAATTTTTCGGCACCTAATTTAAGGGATATCTAGATTTGTGATAAAAATATTTGCGTTGCATAATAAATGAGAATAATTTGTTTGCAGGAATATTTTATGCTTTTAGCTTGATTACATAAAGAGGTTCTGTTTCATTGGAAATATGATAAGTTATTATCATCAGTTCCAAGAGCATAATTTCAGCAAGTATAGATCAAATGTACTTCAGAAAATATATGTAGATTAAATAAATGCGGTTACAAATGAATGAAAATTACCTAAGAAGTCTCGTAATACTTTATGATATCATTGCATGCTTATAAAATATTCTTTTATAATTTTAAGTGTCTCCAACATAATTTTGTCCACTCAACCCGGAAGTTTCCTTCTATCTTCCAGTCCTAGTTAATGATCCAAAGCGCCTTTATGTGACATCTGGTTATTGTCTACCGTTTGCCATATCTCACGCCTCACAATCGATCGTATTTTCCGAGGACCTGCTTAATTGCGATAACAAAGTGCAAAGTTTGGATACATTTGACACCATTAACAGTATTCAATAATAATTTTCATGTGAAAAAGTCTTGACAGGTTTTTTCGGAATCTTAATATCTAAAAGTTAATAATTAATGAAACGTTCCAGCAAGAAGGCCTATGGTCGATGAAAAGGAAAACGATGTTACTCGAAAATTTCCCATGTAGATAAAGCGGTAATATTTTTCGGAGATGATTTATAATAATGCGTGAACACAATACGGCTACCGTCTACTTAAAATGATAAATTACGTTTACGAAAATTTATTCTTGCTGTATGCACAAGAATCCTGCTCGCTAATAATCAACGAATTTTTTAAGCTAGCTTCTAATTGCATAGGAAAGAGCGAAGCTGCAGCTGAAAATGTATTATCCCTGTTCGGGTTAATAAAGTGCCGACAATTAAAACGGTTTTGGCCATGCCATTTTCTGTGTTATTCGAAAAGTCGCAGTTCATTTATTGACAGGGGCACGAGAGAATTAGCCCCCAAAATGGAGATGCAAAAAGCGGGAAAAGTTGTTGTCAACCGATGTAAATTACGGGCGTAGTAATTAACAAGGTAAATTAAAATAGATGGAGTGGCATATTTATGTTGCAATTTAGTAAATCGAATGAAAGTTTACTCAAATGAAAGTCGACAAATATGACCATAAAGATATATTGGAGTTCAAATTAGAAAGATTATGGCATAAGAGGTACTGCGCCAAATCTATTTAAATCTTATCTGACCAACCGAAAACAAAGGGTAAAAATACCATTCGAAAATTGGTTGAATTTCTCTTCCAACACAGTGGAGTTAAAAAAAGAAGTTCCGCAGGGCTCAATTATCACCACAATATTTTTATGTATGCAGATTAAACTACTTTAATTTTTAAATCCTTTACAAAAAATTATCGTATAACTAATATTTATTTAAGACAAAAAAATATATTTCAATGGTTTCAAAATAATGGTCTTAAGTTAAATACATAAAAAAATTGGAGAGTATAATACAATATTAATATTAATAATAAAAAGTTGAGTACTTCAATTAAATTTTTGGGTGTTATTTTGGGAAACTAATTTTTATGGAAGGAATAAATACAATAAGTATCTATACTTAATCCTTAATCTAAGATTTGTTGTTTTAAGAGCGACACTCGTGAATTTGTACTATGCATTAAATGCAACAAATTTTGTTTATTACAATTTAAAATATGGCATAACTTTTTGGGGTAATTCATCCCATACAAAAAAAAATTATTCATTTTTCAGAAAAAATTATTAAAATTATTTTTAATATGGAATTGTATGAATCATATAAGCAGACATTTGTAAAAAATAACCTACTTGCACTACGAGATCTTTATATTTAAAACTTTAATTTTTTTACAGGAAAAACAGTTTTATGGTTAACAATACAAGTAGAGAACATACTTTACTAGAAATAAAGATTTTGTGTTAATTAATCAAACCAGAACCCACACCGCTTACTGGAGTATTTAAAACTTTGCTCTGATTTTATATAATAAATTGCCATAAACAATAAAATACCTTAGTTTGAGGGAGTTTAAACCTTGCTTAAGAGCATACCTTGTAAACAGATGTGATTACTGCGTTGATGATTTTTTAAAAAGTTATTCTTGTATTTGTTTATTTGTAGTTTTATTACATATTTGTTTGTTAGTAGTTTTTTGAATGTTTATATATACTGTTTTTGACATGTTCAACATTGTTAACATTGCAATCTTTCTGAACTAATAAATCTATTCTATTCAATTCTATTACTAATATGCCAACATAAGTTTTAATAATCTTTGTTCTATCATTTAAAATTTCCGTAGCATTATTGCAATTTGAAATTTATCATTAGATTAAATTAATTGGTAGTAAACCTAAATATAATATATGTTTCATATGTGTTCGCAGGGTTCAGAAGGCACTGCCATGGCATGGCATGCATATCAATAACCTTACTGTATAATAGGACTTTGGATCTTTAAATTTTAGTGTAAAATTAAATATAAAATAATTTCACTAATAGAAATGTCACTATTAAGAAAATTTTAATTCAAAGTTATTATTTTATACTTATTAATATTTTACAAGAAACGATTTACAATATTATATAGTTCAAATTCTTATAAACAAGAGCTTCACAAACTGCTATTAATAATCTTTCACAAGTAAGAAATCAACAAAATTTAAAATCTTATCTGGTTCTAGAACATTATATATAGTATATATAGTGTTCTAGAACCAGATATTATATACTATATAATATATAATATATAATATTATTATATAGTGTTCTGTATACAATAATAATAATAACCAAAATGCAAATTTATTTATTTTTAATATTAATAATAATAGTGTCAATTTTGATAGGCTGCAGCCAACATGTTAAAAATTCTTAGTGCAAAATGTTTTGGGCATTTTTAGTTCAATTTAACTCAACATTATGTTTCCTTTATTGCACTTTTTCGACTACATATTTAAAAAAAACTAAAATGTCTAAATACTTTTCTAATATGCCTAAAGTCTCTAAATGCTACCCTAAAATAGTAGTACTTTTCATTTTTAAAATATATATTATCTAATTCATTTGATGTGTTCTAGGGAATAAGTAAAATGAATATACTATAGTCTAGCATAACGAAGCGCCAACCATCCCGATGGTGAGCGGTCCTATGTGACCATCTATAGATTTAAAACTGTGTGTTTTGTGAGCAAAGCTATGGTGCAATGCTGTGATCAAAGCGGCGCCGACGTTCTTTTTTTGTTATAACAGAAGAAAATGCTATATATAAAATGGCGAGCTTATGTGGATCGTGTACGAAAACAACCCGAAATACCTACGCATTAAACTGTACAAAATGTGAAAAATGGTTCCATATGGAGTGTGGAGGGCTCACAAAAGATGGGCTAAAAAAAATTGAGGCTGAAATGAAGAAACCAGACGGCAAACGCTGGAAATGTGCTGGATGCTTGGAAAGTGAGGTTAAATGTTGTTCACAAAAGCAACAGAGCAAAACTGAGGTTATGGATAAGCATGATTTCACTGAAATACTACAAGTCCAGCTCTTAAAGTTAAAAGAAGACCTAGAAAGGAGCTATAAAACAGAATTAAATGAATTAAAACATTCAGTAGAATTTATGTCAGAATGTTTTGAAGAACAAAAATCTGAAACGACCAAAGCATTTCAACTGTTAAAAGCTGTTTAAGAAGACAATGAACAATTAAAGAAGAAAGTTTACCATTTAGAAGATCGACTAAACACTATAGAGCAAAAGTCTAAAGAAAATAACCTGATTATATCTGGGATCGTAAAACAAGAAATCCAAACCACCGAAATAGTAACTAAAATAATGGAAACAATGGAAATAAATGTAGAAATGGGAGACATAAAGTGCAATAGAATAAATAAAAAAGAAGATTCTCCAATATTAGTTCAATTTCCCAACAAAACTTATAAGATGGAAGTATTTAAAAAAAGAAAGGAATTGAAAACTATCAGGTCCGATCAATGTGGCCTAAAGGGAGAGAAGCAAATATACTTCAACGATGACCTCATACTCTATTACCAAAACCTTTTTAAGAAGGCCAGAGAGTTTAAAAAAGACAATAGACTCAAGGCAGTTTATTGTCTATCAGGCAGAATTCACATAATTGTAAAAGAGGGAGACACTCCAAAAATTATCAGAAAAGAAGCAGATCTCTTAGAATTTTCATTAAATTAATTATATATTTAGTTTACAAAAAAAAGAAAACAAAAAATTTAAAATGGCATCGATAGAAAAACAATTGAATATTTTATACATAAATATGCAAAGTCTAAGAAACAAACTTGATGACTTAGAAAACATAATAAGGCATCACAAAAATGTTAATATTGTAGCATTGACAGAAACTTGGCTAAATATGGAAGAAACCAAATATTACAACATTACAGGTTTCCAATCTGTCCATGATTGCAGGGATTCGAGGGGTGGTAGTGTAGCTATATATGTAAAGGAGAGTTTTGATTTTAGTTTAGAAGAATTTAATTTTAGTAAATGTAATTGTATCGGAGTCAACTTTAGTTCTAAATTTCTAGTTTATGTGCTGTACCGACCACAAACTTGTAAGGTAGAGATGTTTTTAAATGAAATGGACTTGCTATTAGAAAAACAAACAAAAAGTTGCCTTATCATAGGTGATATGAATATTGACTTATTGAGTGAAAATCAAGAAACCATCAACTACAATAATGTGATTCAAGTAAATAATTTTGCAATACAAAATGAATTAAAACCTGAAAATGCTACAAGAATTGGGTGTTTTAAATCGAGTCTCCTTGACCATGTGCTTGTAAATAAAAATCTTGAATGTGATATTAGGTTAGAAAACCATTGTATTTCTGACCATAAAATCATGTTTGTAAAGCTAAAGCAAGAAGCCATACAAAAGGTAAAAAAGAACATAATAACTAAAAAAAAAGTAAATAAATCGGAATGGATCCAGAAATTAAAGGAGAAGATAGATGGACAAAATATTACAACATTTAAGCAACTAAGTGAAATAATAAATGAAACCAAAGAACACAGCACTAAGACAAAAAAACTTAAAATATTTAACAATAACAACTGGGTTACCTATGAACTTATTAGAGAAATCAAGACTAGAGACAAATTATATGTCACTTGGAAGAGAATCAAGACCACTAAAGCAGAAACTGATTTTAAAAATGCAAAAAACAAAGTTACAAACCTAACAAAAAGGTTAAAAAAAGAATGGGCTTCAAAACAGCTAAATACAGCAGGAACAGATCCAAAGAAGTATTGGAAAATCCTAAACAATTTAATTTACAATAAAAATAAAAATGAAACAAACAATATAAAATGTCTAAATATTAATGAAAAATTGATTACATTGGACACTGAAATTGCTAGGACATTTAATGATTACTTTTGTAAAATTGGAAAGAAAATAGCTGAATCCATACCAGTACTACATAACCTACAATTCCAAGAACAAGAGAATCAGGAGTGTGTATATTTTCAGCCCTGTACGAAAAAAGAAGTATGAAACATCATTAAGAGTATAAGGACTAATACACCAGGTCATGATGGTATTAGCAGGCAAGATTTGATAGACAACCTAGACATCATCGACATATCTATAGCAAAAATTATTAACAACATATTTAAAGAAGGATATTTTCCACAAGAGCTCAAAATAGCAAAGCTTATTCCACTACACAAGGGAGGCGCTAAAAACGATGTAGGAAATTATAGACCAATAGCCATATTGCCTATTTTCTCAAAAATTTTAGAAAAAGCAATAAAAGTTCGGATGATTAACCACATTGATAGAACATTTCAGTTTGATAAATACCAATATGGCTTTCAAAAGAAGAGTAATACTCTATGTGCAGCAACCGATCTTCTGGAATATACATGTAGCAAACTAAATGAAAATAAATATGTTGTGATAGTTTTTGTTGACTTGCAAAAAGCATTTGATACAGTGAATACTCAGGTGTTATTAAATAAACTATATAAAATGCGTTTTTGTGGTCCAGTCCACAAATTACTGAAGACCTACCTATGTAACCGTCTTCAATATACTGAAGTGAATACTGTTCAAAGTGAAAAAGGTACTGTTAATATAGGAGTACCACAGGGATCAGTGTTAGGACCAATTTTATATCTTTTACATGTGCATAGTCTACAATATGCAGGGCTAGAAGCCAGATATTTTACTTTTGCGGATGACACTGCACTGGCATACTCAGGTACTGATTTGACTGAAATTCAAACTGTGATAAATTGTGATTTAGAACTTTATAGTAAATGGTTGGCTGTGAATAAACTAAGTGTTAATGTTAAAAAGACTGTCTTTATGTTAATAAAACAAAAAAATAAACTTGATAGCAATATATCACTAATGTTACATAATGATGTTTTAAAGAAAGTGGATGTGTATAAATACCTTGGATTAAATATTGACTGTAGGCTCACATGGGACAATCATATAAGTGCACTAATAAAAAAGATTATACCTCTTATAGGTGTATTTTACCGTACTAGTAACCTAATAAGTGATCGTTACAAAAAACAAATATATTTTAGTTTATTATGCTCAAATATCCGGTATCTGATACCTTGTTGGGGAAATGCAGCAGGGTATTTGCTAAATAACCTACAAAGAGCTCAAAACAAGGCTTTAAAAGCACTTTTTAAGATGGACTATGGTTTACCAACTCAACAAATTTATTTAAAAACAAAACTACTAAATATTGAAAAATTATGTCAATTGGAACAGCTGAAACTTGCATTTAATGTTAAAACATTAGGATGCAAAATAAATTACATGACAGTAGCAAATAGCGATATACACCACTATCATACAAGAAGAAGAGATGACATAAGAAATGATTTCAGATCAACTTGCAAAACACAAAGTTCTCCCATATATCAATCGGTGCAGCAATACAACCAGCTAAACACAGAAACAAAGATGATTCAAGACTTAAGTAGATTTATTGTTGTTATTAAAAAGTACCTGTCACCCTAACAGATTTAGTTTTAATTTATAAAGAATCTAAATATATTTTATTTTTTATATAATGTTATGTATATTTTATATTGAAATATTTAATTCTGGGAGTTATTTAAGAAACATATATTTTTTTTTTTTATATAGTATTTTTTGTATAGAATTGTTATAATTACTGTTATTATATTATATACTCATATAGGCCCTGGTACCAGTTTTTGTTAAACTGTTTTAGGGTCAGCAATAAATAAATAAATAAATAAATAAATAAATAAATAAATGTCGAAAAAATTATAGATTGATTCTTAATTGTTTATGTATGTATATTAAAATTAATGCGTTTTTTAATATTGTATTTTTCGTGTTAAGTTTGCCTTTAAACCTGCCTATTTTGACTTTTAATAATTATTAATTTCTGTACTATACTATTTATTTATTTAATTTTGTACAAAAATAATCATGTATTTTTTACGGTTAATAAATAAATAAAAAATACAATAAGATCTTTTTAAAATGTGGCACATTGTTGTTAAAAACATTCAATATTGTGCAACTTTCCTTCTATTTTAAAAGAGAAAATTTACGGAAAAGTGAGTGGGGAGTTGGTCGAAAATTCATCCATTAGAAAGCTCAAGTGATGCTTAGGACTTTGTAGAAGAAAAGTGCAAACATAAGCCACTGAATGGAAGGTAAAACTTTTCAAAAAGTGCGATTAGTTCTTTATTTCCCTAGTTTGTAACCATATAGTTGATGCGGGCAGACTTTTACTACATTATGCTGTGGGATTCGAATTTTTTTATTTTTAGGTTTTAATTACCAGCATATTCCTTTTAAATTAGTTTAATGTTTGTTTTACTTTGGTGGGCACTAATTAAAAACCCACAAATTAAACTCATTGTGTTTACAAAATTAATCCTAGTAAAATTAACCAAAATGACACTTTGCAAAAAAAGTGAAAAGTGCACCTCAGCACATTTGTGCGTTATACGTATGGAAGAACGCAATTAAATCCAGAATCCCGTGGGTAAAAGTCATGGCACAGGAACGTCTAGAAATAAAAGGGGGAATAAAAAGAGGAACCCCGTTCACAATCCCCGTTAACGAATCAGAATAATTTAATTTCTGCCCGTCCCTATGCATCTTCGCTCGAACGTTATAATGAATATAGTCTCCCGAGACTCTAGCGGTCACTGCAACGTTGTCAAGATTATTAATAAAAAAAATCTTGTATTCTATAGGTACATTCTAAATACTAGTAAATAAATACCGTTATTAAAAGTAACAACAATTTTTTTTAAATATGTTATAATAAGTAATTTAACTTTTTAGCCATGACCTAATATAGACTATTCCACTCATTACTTTATGGACCAATCAGATTTCACAAAACGAGTGTTTTTTCAGTTTTGCAGCAATAAAATTACTATTTGAGTGAACAAACCACTCGTTTATACGAGTTGCATAGCAACCAATTCGTTGATATGCGAAAAATAATTGTCAATGTTGACGTTTCTAATTTTAAAATAAAAATGTCAAAAAATATGCGTTTTGGTCAAAACCATCATACAGAAATTGTTTGGTTAGTTTTTGTAGTTCCACTTGGAAATTTTAATGCTTATAAATATTTAAATAAAACATTTGTTGTACCTAAAAAAATATTCGTGAAATAGTATTGCCGAATACCACTCGTGATAAAATTTTTCCTTAAAAATGTTTTGATTTTTATTAACTCAAAAAAACATTAGTATAAAAATCAAAAATTTGATCGTAAAATTTTACCACTAGTGGTAGAAAGAAAATTTGTATTCGCATAAAGATTACAAAAAAAAAAAATTAAATAAAAAAAAGAGTGTAGAAAATAGATTTTTAGTTTTCGAAGAAAAAAATCATAAATCACAAAAAATCACAAATAGCTTGTTTCAAGACAAGAAAAATGATTGGTCGTTCGTCGGAATCGCTCAATTGTAACCAATGTTCGATGATATATTGGCAAAATCTTTATAATCATAAAAATTTTAAAAAATCATATCTCCAAAAACAATTGATAAAACGTGCTTAAATTAAAATTGAATTTTTATTTTGAGTCAGGGAACCCATGGAAAAATTTCCGAGGAATTTTGAAATGGTAAGGTTTTTTTTTCGTGTCGAATTCACGTGGAATTCCTCATACATATATATAGATTTACACACATCGGAAAAG